CCCGGAGCGCTGCGGTCCCGCCGGCACCATGCACGCTGCCCGCTGGCTGGGGCTGGCGCTGCTCTGCCTCTGCCGCCCCGCCGAGCCCTGGTACCGGCCGGCGGCCGGGCCCCACCACTACTCGGTGGGCAGAGCCTCGGGGCTGCTCTCTGGGCTCCGCCGCTCCGACACGAGCGGCACCGCCAAGCCCGGCCCCGGTGCGCTGATGCCCGGCTCGGCCCGCCCGCCCGCACGGCTCCACGCCGCGGTGAGTACCGGGGCCGGTTCGGGGTACGGGGCACGGTGGGCCCTGGGGCTGCTCCCGCTCCCCGTGGGACGCTGGGCACAGTTTGTGCTGGGACCGGGCACCCGGCCACGGGCACTGGGACGCTGTAGGTGCGGGGTCCTCCGGCTGCTGGGCACTGGGGCACGGTGGGGGCACCTCCGCTCCCCCCACCAGTGCCGTGTTGCTGGGGGACCCTGGTCCCTGTTGATGGTCTCCCCTGCAGGTGCTGTGCGTGACGGATGTGGCCCCCGAGCCACGGAGCTGCCGGTTGCTGCCTGGAGCTGCCGGCGCTCTCCAGTGCAAGGCGGACGTGACCGTGTCCTTGGACCCCGTGGCGTGTGCGGATGCCTGAGCTGGCACTGGTGGCTCCGTGGTGACAATAAATGTGCTTGGGCTGGCTCCATCGTGTCTGTTCTTGCAGGGGAGGGAGGTACTGTGGGGTGGGGGGAGCCCACCCGGGTCTGGGGAGCTCAGGGCTGCTCAGCCGTCCCCTTCCTGCAGCTCCCTGAGCCCCGCAGAGCCTTGTCTGGGGCTGGAGCTGCCCCAGGTCAGGCTGGACAAAGCCAGGACCGGGCTGTGCCCTGGGCAGGACATAGCACTTGGGGCTCCGGAGATGTTCCAGGTGAGAAGGCAGTGACAGCCCGGTGGGGAGTGGGTGGGGGGCACTTGGCAGCAGGATCACAGCTGGAGCTGAGCACAGTCCCCAGCCGGCAGCTGCGTGGGGACCCCTGGGGAGGTGGGCAACCCCATCCCATGTTTCCTCATGGGTATCACAGTGGGGAGCCTGGTCAGCCGACTGAGCACCCACCACCTGCCTCTTGCCACCTGCTTCGGCTCAACCTCTGGGCTCCACCATGCCCCTGGGACCCACGCCAGTGCCAGCATGGCCCTGGCCTCACAGCCCCACTGCCCCCGGGCTCCTGTGAGCACCCATTCCCCCCCCAGCTGCCGAGGCTGCTCAAACACCCATCAGGGAAGATCACTCCATCGCAACCAGCGAATTGCCACCCCGCTGGCAGCCCCAAGGGCCAGCCTGATGCCCATGGTGTGAGCTGCGGGGAGCAGCAGGAACCAATGGGGCTTTGCTGAGCGGTGGGTGACCACAGGCAGGGCGCTTCTGTCCCCATGTCCCCCAGCTGGGAAGGGCCCTGCTGACCCCCTGCGCTGCAGGAGACCCAGGCACAGCCCCTGCCTGGCACCGGGGCACCCAGGCTGTGCTCCGGCAGCAGAACATGGACTCAGTGACAAGAATGGGGCAGCAGCAGCCCCCCAATGCCAGCTGCTCCTGGGCAAGGGCACCCCCACACACACCAGACAGCTGAGAGGGGGCTGCCTCCTCCCCAGGGGCGCAGCACCCAGTCTGGTCGCAGTCTCTGCCCCCATGAAGGTTGCCAGGGCCCTGCCTCACCTGGCAAGAGGCTCTTGCCCACAGCAGACACTGTGCCCTTTATGAAAGGACACCCTCCCCGCCCCAAGTGCCCCTGGCTGTGATGCACTGCACCCCGCAGGACTTGGCGCACCTGCCCTGGGGTGCAGCATGGCTCCATTGAAGGCTGCCGGTGCCAGTGTCTTCCTAGGAAGCTTGGTGGGCACCAGGGCCACCAACCATCACAGGGGACACAGCCCAGCATCCCCGCCATGGCAGGGATCAGCATGGCACCATAAGCCCCCACTGGAGCTGCCACAGGGTGCTAGCGCCCACCACTAAGCTCAGCCCCGTCTCTGAAATCCTGTGGGCACCCCAAGTGCTCCGGCATCTCGCGACTGGCCAGGCAACTGCGGCAGCAGCGGTGTTGCCACGCAGGTGTCCCAGGTGCAGCCCTCCTACTGCCCGCAGCAGTAAGGTGCCAGCTAGGCACCAGCCACTGTCCCGGTGCTGAGCTCCCGCCTGGAGCCACCATGCATCGGAAGCGGCTGCAGAGCCCCAGCCCTCCGTGCACAGCAGGACCAACGCACTGCAAGGAGATTGTTCCGGGCTTTGGCCAGGGTGGCAGTGGCCTATGGTGATGCTCTGGGGTCTGTTCACCCCATCACCCCTTTCCATGAATTGCTAACAGGGCCCTGGGGGACGAGCCCCAACCCCAGCCCTGCTCTGGGGGCCCTGCACCCTGGCAGGGTTTGGGCTGAAGCTGCTGGCTCCCCTTAGCAGGGTCACAGCTGCTCTTACAAGATTTAAGGCACCTGCTACAACTGTTCAGTGAATTAGTTCCCATTAGAGAAACATCACACACTTGCTGCAACCTGCATTGCAAGGGAGGGGGCCTCGGGCTGGGTGCAGGAGCCAGAGTTCTGATCTCCTGTGCTTGGGTGGCGTTGGAAATAAACCCCCCAGAAAACAAGGAAAGTCACAAACTTGAAATTCATGCCTTTCTCCCCACCCCCATTTTAACTCCACGCTCATTTTTGCCTGTGGGACTCAGGCTGCCAGTAAACAGAAGCTTAGAAGAAGGGCCCAGAGGCACTTGGAGAAAGGAACATCATATGCAAAAGTTTTCAGAGTAAACTCAGAAACAGCTCTCAGAAGCCCCAAGGAACAACAGCTCCACCGCGTGCCAGCTGAGCAGGCAAAGCTGATGTTTCCACGCAAATAAGTTATACCAGCAGGCAAGTACCCATGCATGGTGACAGCAGAAATAAAGTACTTTTGTCATTTTTTAATAACAACAGTACCTGTTTGGGTCCCAGAGGCAGCTCATTTACATGCAGATGCTCAGCCTGGGGCACATGTGTCACTGTGGCCAAGTTGTTTGTTTTTAATGACAAACTCTTCTGCTGCCTCCGTGGGAGGGGGGCTGTGTGCTGCAGAGGGGTTATTTGTGCGCTCGGCAGCCGGCGAATCCTGGGAAGGGGCCGACAGCTCAGAGTCACCATTACTCCGGGGGCGAGGGGCAACTTTGCCAGCTCCGGGCAGCAGAGCTGATGTGCATCAAAGCAGCGGGGTTTCAGCAGGAGGGCGCACAGGGCAGTGACGCAGACTAGAGCAGAGTACCGGCTCTGCCCCAGCGTGATGGGATCCCAGCACGCGTCCCCTGTACCCCACAGTGGGCAAAGCACTGGCCTGAGCCACTCTGCTCCAGGCCAGGACTCACCCCGCTTCTCAGCCCACTCCCGCACCCCAACTGTGGCTGGGACAAGGACAGGGCTCAGCCCAATCTCACAGACCTTCAGGGCAGCGGAGACCCCTGGCCAGCTGGCGAAGACCTTAGCCCTGTTTTCCGCTGGGGTGTAGCTGAACCAGGGCACAGTCTGCAGCACAAGCCAGCTGGTGCAGCCCACAGAACGGCCGGTTCCATCAGGGGTGAATCCCCAACCTGCCCAACATCTGCAGCAGCTGTTGCCTCTGGTCAGGAAGGGAAAAGCCCTGGTCCTGGCTGGAGAGCTGCAGCAGAGCAGCCTCTGCACAGCAGCAGAGGAGCAGCAGCAGCGAGGGCTTGCCTGGACCCACTGGGAGGGAGGTGTCCGTTCCCCAGACCCTGGGGACTGTCTCCAGCCAGGCAGGGGACACAGCAACAGGCTTTTCACCAGAGTCACCATCCTGCCGCCAGCCAGCAAGGCAAGACAGGCGTTACCTTCCCAGAGAGGAAGCACCTTCCTTCTTGCCAAAAAGGGCAGCAGAAGTTTGGGATCACTCACGCACCCCCCCAGGGCTGCCCTTTCCTCTCCTCCAGCTGCAGAACCGCCCACAGAGTACGGCCCCGCTGCTGGAGAAGAGCCCTTTCGCAGAGCGCCAGCACCCCAGGGAAGGGAAAGCCCAGAGAATGATGCGGAGCGCAGCAACCACGGCTGGGAGCGTCCAGGTCTCAGAAGCAGCTTTGGGGCTGTGTCGTGGTTTAACCCCAGCTGGCAACTAAGCCCCACACAACTGCTCACTCCCTCCCCCACAGTGGGATGGGGGAGAGAATTGGAAGGGTAAAAGTGAGCAAACTTGTGGGTTGAGATAAAGACAGTTTAATAGGTAAAGCAAAAGCCACACGCACAAGCAAAGCAAAGCAAGGAATTCATTCACCACTTCCCATCGGCAGGCAGGTGTTCAGCCATCTCCAGGAAAGCAGGGCTCCATCACGCCTAATGGTGACTTGGGAAGACAAACGCCATCACTCCAAACATCCCCCTTTCCTTCTTCTTCCCCCAGCTTTATATACTGAGCACGACGTCATATGGTCTGGAATATCCCTTTGGCCAGTTTGGGTCAGCTGTCCCGGCTGTGTCCCCTCCCAACTTCTAGTGCCCCCCCCAGCCTCCACACTGGTGGGGTGGGGTGAGAAGCAGAAAAGGCCTTGACTCTGCATAAGCACTGCTCAGCAGTAACGAAAACATCCCTGTGTTATCAACACTGTCTGCAGCACAAATCCAAAACATAGCCCCATACTAGATACTATGAAGAAAATAAACTCTACCCTAGCCCAAACCAGCACAGGCTGCAAGGGACAGCTGGGAGGAGCCCAGGACGAGCGGACACAGTCACAGCATCACCCATGCTCAACACGGCGCGGGGAGGGACTGCTGTGCTTGCTGCAGGCACTCAAGGGGCTCCAGCTACATCAGGAGAGGACGGGAGGCTCCAAGTTCTCCAGTCCCTCCCTGTGCCCAGTGCTCAGCAGGGAGTGTTCCCACACAGGTGGGTGTCTTGGCTCGTCACAGATGACACACTCATTACTGAAATGCCAATATGACACCACAGGGTCTGGGATTAGCACCTACGCAACCGTGAGACCCCAAGCTCCACAGCTGATCTGTCCCCACCACAGCTGCTTGCAGATGCTGCTTTGGCATTGCAATACACCGCAAGCTATCAGCAGAATAGTCCAGCTCACCTCCGCCTTCCATACCCACCATGGTTACGTGCCCGCCGAACTGCTGAGACTCACCTTTCCAGTACAAATTCTGCAATTTTGGAGTCCAGAAAGCATAAAACCCCAGAACACAGAAAGACCTCTTCACACAGTCTAGCTCAATTCTCTAGTGAATTCAGCAAAAACCTCCTCTCCCAGTGAGAACAAGCAATGTCTAGGCAGAGTGATCCCTAACACCTGTGCCGGAACAAACCCAAAGTGCTCCAGAGCTCAGGCTGGGCTGCCCAAGGGCAACAAGCTCATTCTCAGGCCACAGCAGCCTCTCCCCAGCTCCCATCAGAGCTCCAGGGAAAAAAGCTGCTGTAGAACAGAGTCTCCAGCCAGCAGCCTGGCCCCTTTCTGCTACCCAGGCTCAAGCCCCAAAGAGACCAATACACAACTCTTCAAGATTTTATTAATGATCAGCAACAAAAGTTTACAACAGAGAGGACAACAGAACTGGCGTGGAAGGACCGTCCAGCACAGTACAGGGAGCAGCCCAGGACACCCAACACAGCACCCTGGAATGTAAGAGGCAGAAAGGGGCTCAGCCCAGCACCCGTCCTCCTCAGGCCCTGCACCTCCCCCCAGGGGCACACGTGCTGCATGTCAGCCCTCAGAAAACAGCCATGAAATTTCAGCTTACAAGGTCCTTCCCTTAGGTAACCCGTCAGGCACAAGGTGGACTCTGGCCGCAGCAGCAAGCAGGGCGCTGAGCACGGTCTACATGCAATGCCAGCTCCTGCTGCCTCAAGACAGGAAGAGCCTTTGGCAAAAGCCCCCAGGGTTCCCATGCCTCATGTGGAGAAATGCCTCAACCTGCCAGGGAAACTGCAGAACCGAGGGTCCCTGTGCCACCAGCCACATGCCTCTCAGCAGCTGCCACACCACTGCCCGTTATTGGGGCAGCAAACGATTCGCTGGCACCAGTCACAGCAGAGAGAGGCTTTATCCCACTAAACCCAAAGTAGCTTTGGGTCTAGTATTCATGCAGAAGCAGCAGCTGAGAAGAGGCAGCACGGCAAACCCTAGAGCACAGGGCCTGCTGGCACCTCCAGCAGCCAGCACACTGATGGCCCAGTGTCCCTAACCGAAAGCTTGCAGGAGGAACTGCGGGTGCTGTGCCCCTTCCCCAGGGAGGCTGTTCTCACCAGTCTGTCCGGGCCACCACCCGAAGGGCTGCTCTGGAATGGTCAGGACAGCCAAACCTGGAGGGGCAAAGGGAGCCTGGGTGGCTGCTCCATTTCCCTCCCTGCTAAAAGCCAGAAATGGTAGAAGGTAAAAGCACATCAACATGTTAAAACATTAGTTATAATTAAAACTGTTTGGTTTGGGGGTTTTTTTTTTGTTCCTTTTGTCAAATCTCCTCCTGGGAAAGGGGACGGGAGCTGATTAACAGAGGAAAAACTAGGCAGCAGGATCCCGACTCGTTATGTCTGCATAATTAGTGCAGGAGGAGCTATGAGACAAGAGGGTAAGACAGCACATCCTGCATGCCGGCAGCGGTGTCCCCGTTCAGGGGTCCCCTCTTGAAGAGCTGTCTGCTCCTCAAGAGGGTGAGACTGCGGCGCTCTGCGACCCACGCATTGGCTCTCTGCTGGCCTAGTGCTTCTCCTCTTCCAGTCTCTTCATGGCCTCCAACACAGCCAGCTCTTTTGCTTCCTTCTTCTGGTTCCTAGCTTCAAACTCCAGCCTGCATCAATCACAAAAAGCCACAAGATTCTCATCCCTCCGTATCTTGAGTAGACTAAAAGGACCTGGAGCAGGGTAGCACTGCCTTCTCCTGCGCTGCTTTGCTCTGAGTACTCCAGAAACCTCACCAGTAACGCCCCAACTCCTCTTCAAGAGCCAGCACCCAGAGCTTCCCACAACTGTTATCATCACTCCGAAGTCCCAGGATCCCAGACTGGTCAAACACTACTTACTTCTCCTTCTGCAGAAGACACTGCTATTGCATGCTTGGTCTGTCCTGGGACAGATGATTTAGTGCCGTAATACTAAAATCAAATTTACCACTGATCTGAGCCAAGGTCACTGAAGGTGAAGGGCTCAGGCCTGAAAGAGCAAAGCTCTGAAAGAAGCAATATGCTTCTCTCCCCAAGAATACAGCAAGGAAATATTATCATTAATAGAGGAGGAGGAGGAAAAATAGTAAAACATGCTGTGAAGCACATTCTGACATACTAGAGTTTAGCTGGTCCTTTCCCTGTACAGTCCAGTCCATCCACATTCAAGCAGCCTGCCCAAGCTATGGAAGATGAAGGACCAGTTCACTGACTCTGTACCTTTAGATAACCCCTTCTCTTCCTGTTTGATCCCATTAATTAGTCCTCAGACAAGCTGGATGGAGCAGTATGCAACAGAACTGGGAGATGAAGAAAGCCAACCTGTTCTTGATGATTCTTTGCACAATTAAATCTGTGGTGAGATTGCTGCCACTGTCCACCAGCTGGAAAATGCCGCGTCTCTTCGGTTCCTGTAAACAAACACAGCAGACTCAGCGGTGAAAAACACACAGGACCACTGGGTTTACATGCTCAGTAGTGACAGCTGAGCAGAAGTCATGGCAGGTCCTATGGGCACTCAGCCAGGCACAACACAAAATGATGTCCTAGGAGGCAGAATAAATAACTGCTGAAAGCAAGGCTTCACGTATATGGGAGCTGAGCAAGGCTGCCCAGGACTGGCATAGAGCAAAGATTACAGGATTTCTCACTTTGCCATGAAGGCATCAGAAACAGGCAAAACAAAACAGTGACTAAAAGAATGGAGCTGTTGTGAATGATTTACAGGCTCTGCTCCAAGTAGCTACACCTCGGGGTGGATGAAAAACATCATCACCTGCCAAGGACTTGCTTGGGTAGCATCCTCTGCAATACAAATTCTCAGCTCAGGAACACAAACAAAGCCATGCTGTATCTATCAAACGTTGACAAAGAAGCGCGGACAACAGCAGCTAGTAGCTTACCTCATACGGATCAGAACCATCCTTATCTGGCACCACCTCCGTCATCCCATGACACACAAGTGTTACCTGGAGAAGGACACAAAGTCACTGACAAGATCCAAAAGATGACAGGGACTCTCCCTGCCACTGCACTCACTGCAGCATAGCCTGGAAATCAGCAAAGCCACCCCTCCAGTACCAGGCTTGGCAGTGCATCTGGAGCTCCCTGTAATCCTGCTGAGTAGGACCACCTGTCTTCTACACCCCTGTGTTTTCCTGCACCGCTTTAGCTCCCTAAGCACATCACACACCAACATCTTCATGTCCATCTATAGGCAAAGACTCTCACCCTGAAGTGATCCAGCAGATCAGCAGTGACAGCGTAGGGGGCTCCAATCACCACTTCCGAGACGTACTAGAAAAGAAACCAGGTGAAAGTCCAGATTTGGAAAAAAAAAACCAAAAAAACAACCAACCACAAAACCTCAAACCAAAAAAACAAAACAGAGGCCAGCCTGCTTCCTAAACAGACTTGAGCAGGTCTTCTGGTTATAGAGTTAGGAGCTCAAAATAAGGGAACAGGAAAGTGGGTTTAGCAGCCACTGCTTGTCTCACAGCATCTTTTTGTTCCACGAAAGAATATGCTTTCTGGTAGTGCATATAGAGCAAATCCAAAAGTTAATTGCTCAAGGCACACATTTCTGGGCCTCCCCACATTTCTTTCCCAGGAATTTTCTCCCCTGCTGCAGGCAGCAGAGAGTTTTCTACAAGAACATGGCTGTCTGCATACAGCAGAGCAGCACTCTGCAAGGCATCCTGCCTTTTCATGGCCGGTGGAACAGAGGTGGAAGAGTTCAATAGCTCAGGTTAGCCAGGACGACACAGAAGCCTAGTCATTCCTCCTGAGAGCACATCAGCACCTCTGGCAGCCTAAAGGAATCAGTCTTGTCTTCACCTTCTCAATGCACACCAAAGAACTCATGCAAGATTCTTGGCTACAGGTGAACACCACCCAGCTCCAGGCAACTTCTGGAACAGCGCAGAGGCACCAATCCAACAGGCACTTACCCTACAGGCCAAGACACTAAGTGTTCTCTCATGGATGTTCATGATGGGATAGTTCTTCCCTTTGTAGCGATTTACTTCCTAAGGCAAAGCACCACGCACAATTAGAAGAGACACAAACCCTTTCCCTCTCACTTTTTCCCCAACATGAAAATCCTGTATTGGCCAATACATCCCTTTCTTGTCTTCCAGAGCATGACCTGCTTGTTTCAGAAAGAATAGGGGCCACGCTGCTCTGTCTTTGGACGTTATATACAGACCTGATCAAAGTGCAGCCCAGCAATAATGTAGGGTTTCTCTGCCAGCTGGTGAACCTTCTCCAGGAAATCCACATGCCCAATATCTGTAGACCTGTTTAAGGAATTGAAACTAATGTGGAAAATAGGTAAGACAGTAACAGATGCACTGAAAGACCACAGTGGGAGACAGGAATCCCAAGGATTTTATTTTTGCATTACTTGTTGCCTATGTCCTAAGAACAGTTGCCTCCTTCCTCCTCAGGCTCCACAGGTTCTGGGCAAAAGCCAGACATCTTTTCAGCTCCACCTCACATGGACTCAACTTTGCCTCTGTCCAGAATCTCTACCTGTTTCAGGTGTTCTGGGACAATGCCTCCGTGACTGTCCCAGGGATGAAGCATCTGCTCCAGATGCCCTGTGCAGTCACTTGGTCTATGACAGCCCGTCCTCAAGAGGGACTAGGGTGTGATCACTAGAGCATGGAAAGCATCCAACTGTCTTCCTGAAATCCTCCAACAGCCACAAATCTCTCTAGAGAGGAGCAATAGTTCCTTTCTCAGTGTCCTGTGACTAAGAAACTGCCAGTAACAACTCCTGCCTCCTCCCTCACATGCACACCTACAGAAAAGAAAAAAAAAAGAAGAGGCAAATATCCTAGTCTGGTGCCTCAAAACATGAAAACATCAAACAAAAAGACCAACGGTACTTTCTTGACAAAATAGTGTCAAGGATACGGAACAGGTCAAAGGCTCCGGCCACATAGATGATAGTGTCTCCTGGCTGTGGCTCCTTCCCTGATGCAAACTGGATGATCTTCTGAGATGTCTGTAGGAACTGCGAGACGCCAGTCCAGGGACTGTGACCTTTTGGCCCCTGGGAAAACACATACCACACACATTTCCTTTTCAGGCTCCAGGAGGGGGTTTGGACAACACACAAATGGAGCTGCAGGCAATTTGCTAGCCTTAACTTGCTAGCAAGTATCACAACTCTTAGCTTGCACTTGCTACATTCCTGGCACCAAATACTTATGAAATCTCACAAATGCTGTTTTTGCTCTGTCAAACACAGTCTAAATCGTCCCCTCAACAGCCAGCTAAGGAGATGCCAAGAAACAAGCTCAGGAAGGAGGAAGGCAACAGAGCAGTCTTGGATTTCCAGCTTACCAAGGGAGACAACACACAACCTACCTACACTCTTAAGCTTTAAGGCAGCCTACCAGTTCACCTGGCCGATGGCGCGCCAAGCCAGGAGGGGATCGCCCACAGCTCCAGCAAGGGCCAGGTCCCTGCGCCGATGAAACCGAAGACGGAGCTTTGTCCCCGCCATGTGGCAGTTTTGGAAACAGCCACCGCTGTTTCCACCCGCTCCAGCACCAGCTTCGCTCCCCTAAAGCTAGCTGCTCTACAAGACTTGAAAGAACCAAGACAACTCAGCTGAAACCAGGGCAAGCCATACAAACGGCACCATGCAGAAGGGGGGCTCAGCTGACAGGGGATATGCAGGGTGCCTAGTGCCCAGGCATTCTCCCCAGATCCAAGCACCAGGAAACAGCCATGCTGGAGCAACAGGCCCCGTAAAGCCTGCTAAGAAAACACAACACGGTGGGGAACAAAGAGGATGATTCAGCCTGGTCAGCAAGCCCCCTGAGTAAAAAAGACTTAAGCTGTAGGTCCAGGTGCTTGTTCATGAGGGACAAGCCAACACCCACAGAAAAAAAAAAAAAAAAAGGGGGCTGATAGCTCTTTAGAGGTAGCTGGACACAGCGGCAGAGAACCCCAGGAGGACTGCTCTGCTACTTGAAGACCAAGCATGTGAAATCTGCAGTACAGCATGCTAGCTACATGCCTGCTACACCAACACTTTCCAGACCTAATGCAACACCTTTAAAAACAAGAGCACTAAAAGGAGCAATCACAGAGGCTGTCCCTAGGCTGGAACTGCAGGCACTTAGGTCCCAAAGGAAGCAGCAATAAAGAATTTACAAGCAAGCCAGAAAAACAGCAAAGGCTCAGTGGGTGCAGCAGTTCTATGTGCTGCACAAGGACAGTTCACTCGCTGGCCCTGCACGGCCACACCTGCCTATTTCACTGTCTACAGCAGCTACTTTATGGGGGCAGCAGACATTTACTGAGGTTACTACTAAATGTGGGGGAAAAAAACCCCTGCAACACAGGCCAGAAAGCACATTTGGAATCCTTCTCAGACAGGACAACAACCAGACGTCCATGACCAGAACTCACATTACCTTCCCAAAGTTGTCAGTGTGCTTCCGATAGTCTAGGTCCTCATCCTGAAGGGAGATAAAGAGTCAAAATGTTTAAGCACTCACATAGCTCATCCAACCAAGAATATGCTTGTGTGTCACAGAAGTGCTGGGAAGTCCAGGCTCAGACTGCATACCATTGATCCCTGGCACTAAAGGCTGACAAACTAGTTAATATCTAAACCACAGTTGTGTCCCAGCATGAGTCAGATGAAACATGTCCTTATCTGATCCCAGCCTGGCACCACACGGTGATGGTGGTTCTTGCCCAACCTGCAGACCTGATAACATTGCACACTTACGTCCTCCCTCAACTACGCAAGCCCCTACCAGGACAAGCATCCCTCCTTCTTCCAAAGACACTCCACTAGAGACAGGTTTAGATCTCTGCAGACAGCTTATGGCACTGTGCCAGATCTTGGTGTGAACTTACATACTATGGCTAAGCCAATCTAACAGCTCAGCACACTAGAAGGATCTCCCTCTACCCCCGAATTCTCTTGTGGGTCCCTTGCCTTGTCCCTGCTGTTACCTAGGTCCTTCCATTCACTGGATTGCTTGTTTACAAAATCAGTTAAACTCATTAACCAACATAAACCTACTTCCTTTATTTTCCTTTGGTTAGGTTAGCTATCTACCAGGTAGTGTGCTGAAGAGACTCAAGAAAGGTCTGATAAGACTAGAGACAGCAGAAGGCAGAAGCATGCAGCTCAGTGGGAAGGAAGAGGACTTTCCAATTCTGGCAGCACTGGGCTGACAGACCAATGTGGCTGCACTATGTAGTTTCACCCTCGGAGAAGCCATAGGCTAGCCTGTAGTCCCCATAACATTGCTAAAGCCCACACCAATCATGAGGGATGGTAGCTTTTATCCCCCACACACCCTTCCAAAGCAGCATGGGCTGAGATCACACTGTGATCTCAGACAGGCTTAAGGAAACACAAGCAGGTTGTTTTGCTGCCACTGCCCATAATCAGCTTTCCAGTTCTCTGTGCACCCAGGAGCCAGACCCAGGAGCTCTACTGCCACTTGGGACAGCAAAAGCAAAGAGGTAGCATATGTCCTGGACTCCAAACTCCCACCCAAAGCCCTCTCACTCACTATGTTGCTGTGGTGAGCCTTAGTCATGAGCAGCATGCGGCCAACGAGGTCAGTAGTGGACACACCTTGGGTGCGTTTGCATTCCCTGCAGGGAGACAAGCAAAGGATAAAGCAGAAGCCTCAGGAGCATATGCCTCTTTCTCTTCCCACCATTACCACAGGAACACCTGTGACACCTGATAAATCCAAACCAGGGGCCATTCTGAGAAAGTCTTCCTTCTACCTGCTCTTGATATAAAGCACAGCATTCATTTGCTGAGCCCCTGCATCTTCTTCACACCACAGCAACTGCTCATATGAGGAAAACTTACCTTGCACAGACTTCCCAACAGAGCTAACTCCCCGTGAGGCTCCAAGGCCAGAACTAGCATCTGCCAGGAACAGGAAGGCCCCACCAGTTAGATGCTAGTCTGCAACACTTCCTGGAAGCCAAAATGGTGGGAGCAACTGAAGCTCTGACACATGTTACAGCAAAATTAAAGCATGACCTGAAGATAGCTGTCTTTCATCTGACTTCCCTTTGGAGCACGAACTCCCAGAAACTCTGCCCAAAACAGGGTAAGAAGGTAAGCAACGACAGGTTACCTGTATCGCCCCGCTGTTTTCACTTCCTCATAGGTATCCTTGCCATCTATCGTTAAGGTGATGTCATCTGCAGAGAGAGAAAAGCCTCAGAACTGCGCCCCAAGCCTTCCTGCACAAAAGCTGTTTTAGAATGACAGCAGCCACAACTGAACAGGTCCAGCACATATGCCAGACTAGAACTCCTGCAATGGGAATCCCTGTGCATACACAGGGGATACATCCTGCATCCCATGGAAATGCCAAGGGTTTGCAAGACTACCCTATCTGTGGAGACAAGCATATTCCTGGATGCTAAACACCATTAGCCATCTGGTCCACTGTTTTTTAGATAGTCCAGAAGATCCGACCCTGTTGCCCTCGCGGTGAATTCAGCAGCAGGCATGACTGAATTATTGTCTGAATGACAATCAACAGCTACCATCGGTCTCAGTGTTAAAAAGCACCTTAACCTTAACTTCTCTAGGACTGGTTTCAGCCATTGAGTTCATCTTACAACTTCTTCAGCTGATTAAACAGTCCTCCAACAGCCAGTTCTACCCCTCAGTGATGGCACTTCTACAGTGACATCAAGCTACCCTTTTACAGAGTTAATTCCTGTTCATCTTTGGCATGGTTCCCAACTCTACAGAAACACCTCTCACCTACTTTTAGTGATAGTATAAAATCTTTACAAGTGAAACCTAAGCTGGCTTTCGTTTGGCAAAACAGCCAGTTCACAGTGCAGGTGCTGGCAGCTCACAAGTGCTCTCTCTCACACAGTGGGGTGACATGCTCCGGGCAGCAGAGTTGTTCTTCTAAAATCCTACACCCTCACCTCAGGGCACAGGAGAAGAGACCATACTGCAAGCAGAGCTCTGCGTGCCAGGAGAGGGAGAAACAGTGGGTTTGCTGCCTGTCACCTTCCCAGTTAAGCTCAGCTATTTCAAAACTTACCTTTTGCATAAACACAACCTGGCAAAACTGCAGCGTGCAAGGATATTATTCAGGTAGGAGTGCTGAATGATTTGGCAAAGGGGATAAACGCAGGGCAACTGGAGCAAAGGCTATGAGTGCTCCTCTGTTGCCATAATCCCTCACCAAGTCTAGTAAGGGGTCACACACCCCAAACACACTTAGGGCAGGCAAGTTAACAAGGAATTTGATAATCACCCTGTCCATGTGAAAAAACGTATCTATCTTATAGAAGATTAATAATTTATTTACCTTTAATGAAATACTTGGCTTATTGATAGCAGGTGGCTGGGATCAGATGAGGAAGGATACATGAAATGAGTGCAAAGGCTACTCCTGATTAAACTAACAAAATACCTTCAGAAGGGTAGGGAGGAGGTGCTGAGGCTGAATGAACACAAGAAGCATTTCCAGGAAGGGACAGAGTACAAAAGCAAGAATGTTTCCTCAGAACACTGGTTCTCTTCAGTGACTGTAAACTGAAAAGTGTTCATAATAAGAACTAGGTCTCTGACCACACGGTCAGCTAAGCCCTTGAACAGCTTATTAGCTGGATGAAGAGAGAGAAGCTTTTCAGATCTGATCTCATCCCAGTATAAGTAGATATAAACATGATTGTATTTCCGCACACTTACCTGTTGAACAGCATTTTTCATGTTTAAGTTTTGTAAATTACTTTCCCCTATACACAAATTTCTGCTGGTGCTAAAGGCAACCTCAGAATAATCGTCAGACAATGCCTTTCACCTCTGTAAGTGAATGGGATGCTTAAAACCAAGGGATCTGGCCACTCTTAGGGTGCCTAGCACACAGACATATTTCTCCAGAATACCGGAACAGGAGTAGCCATACCGCCCAGAGCAGCTGTTGGTAAGGCAGACCTCTGTACACAAGGTATCCCCTGATGGCCAGCACTGGCCAGAACGTTCCTCACTTTGCAGCAGGGAAACCAAGAGCACGCAAGCCCTGGAGGGCCTGCGTTAATACAACTGTCACCTCAGTATACCACTCACCACCATGCACACAGAAGTCGCAGTTATATTTGTCCAGGGTTTCCAGTGTGGTGACATAGGGAGCTCCTGGAGCAATCTCATCCACCCACTTGATGGCTTGCACCATTTTGTACCTCTCCTCCTGTGTAAATACAGGGGGGCCCTTGTGCTTGGCAATCTCCTCTGGGCGAGAAACAGAAAAACCCAGTTAGAAGCATGTACTACAGCTACGAAGACTCTCACCTACAGGAGCCTCTTCACTGTGGGCTTATACTCAGCTTGGAATTGGTTTGCGGTAGAGAAGGAAGCCCCAGCTAGATCAGAAAACATTTTAATTTAGTTGCATTTCCCAAGTGCATAACAAAGGCCCTGGAAGTCACTCGGAAGGCAGAAGGTCTCAGCGCCTCCCTGTACCCAGAGACGTCCTGTTGGGGGGACTACCTGGGATTCCTGGCAGCCCTGGAGGGGAAATTCCCCTTTTAAACAACAGCTTCCTACTAGAAAATATGTATCCATAAACCCATTTAAAATCCATCTTCACACGCAAGAACTAGTTCCTAGCACTTAACTTCCAGATAGGCTTGAAACGAGTTTTTCTCCACACAGTAATTTGTTTTGGAATATCAGTTCTGCCGTTTGCACCCAGCAAAACCAGACTGATTTTCAACTGGTTCAACTGTTTTCACAGCACAGAATACAGCTCACCCCTCAAACGAAGCCTGCAAGCTCTGAACTACCAAACCCTCGCTCTGGAAAGCATGAAAGGGGCAACTCCACTCCCTTACCCAGGGAAGACACTTTTCTTTTGGAGGCTGCTGCTCCTTGCGGAGACGCAGGAAGAAGCCTGCTTTGTATCAGAGTATCTCCGTTCTCTCGGGGCTAACGTTGCTGGGCGATTCTAGAGGCAGCACGAGGTGAAAAGCTGAGAAAGCCTCTTACCATCTGTGTGGACTCCAACAATCAGATAATCTCCCATGGCCCGAGCCTGGCGTAGCTGGTTCGAGTGGCCATAGTGCACCATGTCATAGCTAGAAAGACAACGGCCCCGGTTCAGTCTGGGGACACAAGGATGCACTTTGCCAGGAAGGTGCAGGAGGTGACCTTCCCCACGGGCTCAAAGGTTTACAGTCCCTCCGCTATCTCTGACCGGGCAGGACCGCCACCTTCGCAGCCGGCTCGTCGGGGGCAGGCGGCAGCACCCCGGCACGCCGCAGCAAGCCTGCCCCAGCCGCGGCCGGAGAGCGGGGTGCCGGTCCCCTCTTCTCCGGGGCCGGAGAGCAGCGCTGTCCCCAAGGCCGGCCCCGGCC